GGGGCGTTGTTCAGTAGTTTTGACATATGATCTTCTGACGGATGTTTTCCTTTGTGAGTCCCGTTGCTGCCCCTGGGAGCGTCTGAAAGGCGGGATCTGAGTTCCGGTGATCGGAATGAACTCCGCGCCAGGTAGGAGGGAGGCCCAGGGGGAGTGGCTGCCTAAATACCTCGCATTTTTGGCGATGCTTCACCCCCCCCCATCTGCAGTTTCCGGGGGGGGGTGGGTTATTCACCTTATTTTATTTAGCTTCATTAATTATAGTCCGCTCTTTACTGGGATGCTATACAATCAATACATTCAGTACATCAGGGCTCTTTTTGTAAAAAAAAAAAAAAGCCCAGCAGGAACTCATTAGCATAATAGGCCACACCCTTGACAATGGGGATCTCCCTCACAGAGGAGGGAGAGCTTGTACCTGAATAAACCTTGGTCTTAAAGGTGCCACTGGTCTCTTTTGGATTGCTAGTTATGGGGGGGGAGAAAGAAAGAAAGAAAGAAAGAAAGAAAGAAAGAAAGAAAGAAAGATCCACAATGCTATAGTCTAGATTCTTAAATAGTTCACTGTAGAAAATGCACAAGCTACATACAGCAGGAAGGGTGTCAGTTTCCATAATATTGGATGGGTAGGAGAAAAAAGCTACTTAGACACTATCGTTGTCATGCTTGCAATTGGCATCTAAAATAAAGATTGAGTAAAGTACCCATGTACACAAGGTAGAGCTGGTTTGTCTTGGGCGTACTGCTGGACTCTAGCTTTATTCTCACTTTTTTTTGGTTGACTCTTGCATTTACATGCGAATTTGCTGCTATCCATTGATTTTACCAGCCACCGGATCCAATTTCAGCTCTGCATATGTATCTTGGCTCTGAGTGCCCCCCCACAGCTGCCCCTACCCTCTTTTTTCCAGCAACTAACCCTTGAGATTTTATTTCATTTGTCTGAAGAAGTGTGCTTTGCACGCAAAAACTTACACTTTGAATACAACTTTGTTGGTTGTAAAGGTGCCACTGGACTCAAACTTTGTTCTGCTGCTTCAGAACAACACAGCTACCCACCTATATTTAACAACGTTCATTTAAAATTACTAAAACTAAAATTGATTTCTAATTATTTTTTAAAATTTCAGTTCTTTAACTCATCTGCAGCAATTCATCTAAAGTTAAAGGAAATGTTCACTCTGAGGATGAGCATGCTATGAAACCAAACACAAAGATGAACCCAGACAAATGGAATAATCTACCAAAAAAACAAACAAAAATCCCACTTTGCTGAATTCCTTCTGCCTTGGACCTCAGACAGCCCAGTTCACGTGCCTCAGCCAAACCACAAGGTTGCCACGTGTGCCATACATCAGAGCTATGTGCTCCCTCATCTCCTTGCATGCTCTCATTTCTCCCCATGCTTTGATAAAAACTTCTTAATTTACTTTAAAAAATTCTAAATCTGTAGACAGCCTTTGCGTTACAAAAAACACAGCACTTACTCATTCTCATTCTGCTTAAACAGCATCACCAAAAAGCAGGGAGGGATCCTTCCCCTCTCTTTAAAGTAAAGGTAAAGGTTCCCTTGCCCGAAAGCCAGTCGAATCCGACTCTAGGGTTGCGGTGCTCATCTGTTTCAAAGCCAAAGAGCCAGCGCTGTCCAAAGACGTTTCCGTGGTCATGTGGCCGGCATGACTAAACACCAAGGCGCACGGAACGCTGTTACCACCGAAGCGGTACCTATTTATCTACTTGCAATTTCTTGCTTTTGAACTGCTAAGTTGGCAGGAGCTGGAACTAGAGACGGGAGCTTACTCCATCATGCGGCGCACTCGGGTCTCGAACTGCTGAACTACCAACCTTCCACAGCCTGCAGTTCAGCGTCTTAACCACTTGAGCCACCGCAGTTCCTCCCCCTCTCTTTATCTAAGAGAAATTGGTTCTGTATTAATGGAAGAGGGAAAGAAGGAGAAGAAAAGATAGGAAGGAAGGAAGGAGGGAAAGGAAAGAGGGAAAGGGGAAAAGAAAGAAAAAGAAGGAATGGAGGGAAAGAAAGAGAAGGAAAGAGGGAGAGAAGGAACGAAGGAGGGAAAGGGGAAAAAAGACAGAAGGAAAGAAGAAGGGAAAGGAAAAGAAAGAGAAGGAAAGAAGGAGAGAAAGAAAGGGCAAAGAGATGGGGATGGAGGGAGGCTCTCCCCTCATCAAGGCCCCGCCACACACACACACCCCTTGAGAGAGAGGAGGGAAAGGGGTGGCTGTGGGCCAAGTGTCCGATCTCTGCTTAGAGATCGAGCAGGCAGGTGCCTCCAGCTCCTTGCACTTGAAGGGCTCCCTTTAAGTGCAGGGAGCCGGTGGGAAACGGCCCTGCGTGCTGCGCGTGAGGCCTCCTGGCTCTGTGCACTTAAAGGGGCTCCCTTTAAGTGAAGGGAGCTGGTGGGAAAGGGCCCCGCCACCCCGTCACAGCCCACCCCCACTTCAAGCCCCTGCCACCACCCACGGCCCACACCCACCCTCTGATCAGGCCTTGACTTACCTTACCTTAGTTCTTGCTCTGGTGGCCCGACTGAGGACTGCTCAGTCGGGCCACCAGAGGGCTGTTGGGAGCAGGAGGCGTGGCCAAACAGGAATGCAGCCGGAATGCTGTTCCTGCCCCAAAATAGCCCTGAGTACAATAAACACTGCAATAGAATTTGGGTCATAGGACTGACCAGAAACCTGAGAAACAGTGTTGAAGGAAAGCATAAATGTTACCATGACCCACAAAGTGCTGCAAAATGGTATAGCAGGATCCAGCTTACAGCAAACTAAACACAGCCATTCAGACCCCATGCCCTAATGATGTATCCAGGTAACCTTGTGAAGCCTTTTCTCCAGTGCTACCCTATTGCTTTCTTAGAAAAGTTCTCTTGAAGGAATCAGTTTTCCTTAGTCTGTAGAACGGCAGGCAAGTGGGTGCCTTCCTGGCCCCCTCAGGCAGACCATTTGTGGGGGCCACAAGGGAGAAGGCCCCTGTCCAGGCCAGCCAGTGGAGGGACTGCAGAAGGGCAGTGATTCACCTGCTCCATCTAGCTCCTGATAATGGCTGAGCCCTGGTGTTCTGTGTCAGCTGGAGTTCCTGGATTGGTTTTATGCAATGTCCAGGGCATTTATCTAGACTAGTCTCCATGTGACACTGTGGTGGTTCAGTTTCAACTTGTTCACTCTCAGCCATTGAACCACAGCAGCCAGGAAGCAGGTGAGGACCTCTGCCCCATCTCTGCCTCCTTCACCTGCTCCTGTTTGTCCCAGCAGCCCCTCTGCCCCTTCCCCTCGACTGGCTGCTTGGGCAGACCTCTTGCCCAGCCCTTCTGGCCTATTGAGGAGCTCTCTGCAGTGCTTAAGCTCTTACCAGTCGCTTTGTGCCCTGGGCTTCAGCTTACCTGCACCCACTAAACAGACTGATCCCCAGATACCAGAGGCCAAGCTCATAACATCCATAATGGATTTTTAAAGAGCCCAATAGAGATGTTTTTCTTTCCTGAAGGACCAAACAAGCATAATGTAAAAAGCTTGATACCTAATGTAACCCAATGAACTTAATCCTGATCCACAAACTACAACATGGACACTCCTCGTGATCCACTTAGGTGTCTCTTGTTCAGTGTCAGTTATATAACTCCTTTCTCTTTTGGTTTCTTTCTGCCTTTTTGATACCTTTCCTTTTTCATAGGCAAGTGAATAAGGGTATCCTTCCACAGTCAAGGGTGTCAAGACAAAGGAGGAGATGGAAGAGGAGGACCCAGAAAGCCCTAGAAATGGCAAGAGATTGAGAAAAGGTCCCCATCCCATCCCAGCAGAGAGTGGTGCTGAATTTTGGGAAAGAGCTCTGCCAGAGATCTTGGCTCAGGACACTGCGAACACAGATATACGCAGCCGATGCTTCCGACAGTTCTGTTACCACGAGGCTGATGGGCCCCGAGAGGTTTGCAGCTGGCTCCATGGACTTTGCAACCATTGGCTGAAGCCGGAGAGGCACACCAAGAAACAGATCCTGGACCTGGTGATCCTGGAGCAGTTCCTGGCCGTCCTGCCCCAGGAAATGCAATGCTGGGTCAGAGAATGCGGGCCAGAGACCAGTTCCCAGGCGGTGGCCCTGGCCGAAGGTTTCCTCCTGAGTCAGGCAGAGGAGAAGAGGCAGGCAGAGCAGGTGAGGGGATGTTCATTCACTCAGTTCAAGCAGTGACCTTATCCTAAGGCTTCCTATCAGATATTTCTGCTTCCAACGTAGTGAACCCAATGAATTAATGTCCCCCAGAAAGTCCCATTGTTAAGAGCCTTCAGTATCCATAAAAACTCTCCTCTAGTACCACAATTGGGAGCCAGTTTGGTGCAGTCTTTGATGTTTCCTTTTGTCGGAATAGCAATGTGAAGTGAGTGTTTCCAGACTGTGGGCCATTGTTTTGTTTTCCATCTTTGTTAGCACATTCTTGTTCAGAATTTGAAGGACTCCTTTTCTGTGCCTTGGAATAGTTCTATGGATATCTCATCTACACCGGTTGATCTGTTTCTCCCAATTGCTCTCAGTGCAGTTTTCCCTTCACTTTCTGAAACTGTTTGTTCTTCTTCAAAAGATTGTTCTGGAAAGGAATCTGTCATCCTTTTATCTCCTTTGTATAATTCCTCAGTGTATTGTTCCCATGTGTCACGGCTCAAGTGGGGTGTCACCTGACACTATCACCACTCTGGTTCCAGGCTCCTCTGAAAAGGCCCAGAGCACCCTCCCAGGCCTTTAGACCTCCTTTTTTAGCTGAAATGAGCATGAGGACCAGGCAGAGTGAACAATGAAAACAGTTTATTTTATAGGAGGTCAAACAAATAATGGGCAGGAGTAATAACAGTAAGTGGGTGAAAAGAAATCAAATGCCCTAACGCGTCTAAATATACTATCCATAGCTCACTATCTCAAGTGGCCTTAGACTACTCACGCTTCCCTTAGGGTTTCTTCCCCACAGCAGCCATCCTTCTGGCCCTGTTCCCTGGGAAGAACAGCTTCTCCTCTTGCACCAGTTCTTTTATTCCCCAGCCCTCTTCTTCCCTATTGGCCAAAATTGGTGAGAAAACTTCCCAAGGCTTTCTGGGGTTTGTAGGCCCAACCTACCCTACTGCTAGCCAGGCTCCCTGGGCCTACTGCTAGCCAGGCTCCCTGGGCCTACTGCTAGCCAGGCTCCCTGGGCCTACTGCTAGCCAGGCTCCCTGGGCCTACTGCTAGCCAGGCTCCCTGGGCCTACTGCTAGCCAGGCTCCCTGGGCCTACTGCTAGCCAGGCTCCCTGGGCCTACTAGACCTCTGGTAGCACAGCCCAGATCATGACACCATCTTTTCTTAGATATTCCTACCTCTAGATATTCCACTAGATATTTCCATTCCTTCTCTTACCGGCCTCTGTTGTTGTTGTTTCAGATGTGGGGGCGATCCATGAAGATGGAAGCAAAGGTCTCTGAGGCAGAAGGAGCTCTGTCAGAAGAAAGTCAGAGGGCGCAGGCCCAGGAGGATGCCCGAGATGCCCTGTCAAGTGGTAAGGGTGCCTCCTGCCTAGATGGGATCAGGGCACCTAGTCAAGTTGTTGGGCAGAAGGTTCAGGACAGGAGAAAAGGGGAATACTTTTGCAGACTATGTAGAATGGAGTTCTGGGACACAGAGTGCCATGGGATGTGGTGAGGGCCTCTCCACTTTAAAGGGGAGTAGACAGATTCATGGAGGACAATTCCATTCTTATTTACATTAATAAAAATGTGCCTCTCTCCCCTTCCTTCCATTAGAAGGTCTCCAGGTGGCTCAGAAAAGGAAAGGAAGAGAAATGAGGGTGCAGCTATTAGCCAAGGTGAATCAATCCAACATCCACATTCCCCAGAACTGGATGGCCGAGGGTCGCCCAGTCTCCTCAGATCTCAGAAGCTAAGCAGGGTCAACCCTGGTGGGTTCTCGCATGGGAGACCACCAAAGAAGTTCGAGGGTTGCTGTGCAGAGGCAGGCAATGTCAGGCCAACTCTGGAGGTCTCTCCCCTTGAATAACTTGTGGCTTCATAAGTCAGCTGTGACTTCACAGCAGTTTACAAAAAAACCCAACCCCATATTCTGGGGCAGCAGACCTCTGAAACCGCATTGCTAGGGGGCAATAGTGTGGGGTCTGTGCCGCTGCTTAAAGGCTTTCCAGGGGCATCTGGCAGGCCAGTGAGAGAGAGGATACTGGACCCGGGATGCCAGGCCATGGTCTGCAACCCCCATGAGGATGGAGGGTGGAGCTTGGGATGGTTGTGGTATCATTTCCCCCGCCCCAACTTTTATTTTTATAGACGACAAACATGACACAAACAAACATACATACATAGATGGGGCGTTACCGTTACATCATTAAATTGTCTGTTTAAATACCTCATACAATATTTAGTTATTTATTTTTTGTTCCACCTTGTATTTTTGTATAAGACTTTTGCATATAATTAAAAATAGTTTTTGTTCCTTCTAAGTTGGTTGTATGTCACTGTTGATGGTGTCATGTGGATGTCTCACCAAAAACCTGGATGTGAAGTCAGAGCATCAGCAGGCGTCCTGGAAACCGGTTAGTGGGACCCTAAAGTTTCCAGAGCCTTGGCTGATGCAGTGAAAAAAAAATCTGGGTTTTGGGCTGGATGCGATGGCGATGTGTCATGCAACAGGATTTCCGGTCCTCTCCTTTTCTCCTGCCAGCAGGCGGGAGAATGGCAGGCCTGGGCTTTTGGCCTGTTCCAGCTGGGGTGCTGCAGCCTTTGGAGCTCCAGGGTGCACAGGGCACCTTTCAAGTCTCACAGAAGGGTTAGCAGCATTTATAACATGCCGAGGCTCGTGCGTACCTGGTGCTTCTCTTCCACCTGTCTGACATCTTACTAAAAGTCATTACAAATTTTCTTGAGTGTAAAGAAGACAAGGTTGGGTGAAGCAGAATTCAAAGAATCAAACACAAAAGGAACTGGAGGTTAACATTCATCCTTCCAATTTTGTCTCCCTTACAGGCAGTAAAGAGATGTTGTCAACCTGTTGTCTTTTCAGGGGAGTGGAACCGGCTGCTCCACCTCTGGTCCAGGTAGGGGGGGAAGACTGGGGGATAGTCAGGTCCCCCCTCCTTTCTCAAGGAGGCTTTTGGTCCTGCTGACCGAGGAGAGACAGGCTCTGAACCCCATTCTTCTTACATATGCCCAACTCTTCATCCTGCACCCTCCCCGAATGCCCCCGTGGAGAGCGTAGTCTCTGCCCGGACTGATCTCTGACGAGGGAATCCGCTTTTCCTTCCAGCCTCCCTTTTCCTTTGAGGAGGTGGCCGTGTATTTCACCGAGGCCGAGTGGGCCTTGCTGGCTCCTGGCCAAAGAGCTCTCTACAAGGAGGTGATGCTGGAGAACTACAGGACCGTGGACTCTCTGGGTAAGGATCTTTCATAGGTGCCAAAGGTGCAAATTGCTGCCATTGGAATGAGGCATGAATCAAAATATTGAAAAGCTACATGTGGTTGGGAGGACTGCCTGGCTATCTCCCCCCCCCACTTGGGGCTGCAAATAGGTTGGGATGGCAGTGAAAAGGATGGTTCAGCATGGCCAGTGTTGTGGCCCTCACCCAAGCCATTCCTACAGCGGTCCCCTGGATGCCTTCAGGCCTTAGTATTAGTTGTAGATGTGTTTGCTTTCTTTGGAGCTGTTCTACCTTGCAGCAGTAGCCTGCAGTGGGTAGTCCCACCAGTTAACACTGCCACCTAAGGGCAAGGGGTTTCCTCCAAATCACACAGCACCCTCTGCTGTGGTGACGGGAATCAGTCCTCACCCGAAGAGAGCAGGATCATGTGCTCTTGAAGAGTTTCCCACTGAAATTGTCAGCCCAGTAAAGCCAGAGTCAGGTTCTCAGTTCAGGCACAGTTTGTTTGAGCCACAACAGGATAGAGAAAGCACTGTAGCCACCTGCCATCTCCCCAAGAGGCAAGCGACCAATTCCTTCCCAAAGGCTAAGTCTCTTCCACCCCCTTGAGGCAGGAAACCGTCTGACAAAGAAAAGCACATACAGAGAGAAAAGCCAGGAACACCTGTCCACTCAGCATGCCCCGATGCCCAAGTTCCTCCAAGGCCGGCCAGCACCATCTCCCCCTGTCCCCAGGGAAGAGGGTTGATAACCATGAGAACCCTCTACTGCTCTAAGGGTCTGCCAGACTAACTTCCCCATGTTTAGATTCCATCACCCTGGTCATGCTGAACACCTGAATAACTGCATGCTTCCTGTGCGCTCACTGCGTCTTTCAGGTGTTTGGGGAGGATGGAACAGGACAGACTCTTCTGGGGTCATATCTGGACTTTTTGACACTGCGTGTTCCTCTGGGATGAGCTTCCAGGGGGCCTTAGTCTACTGTTAGGAGTTGATGACTTTGAAGCCCGATAATTAGTCTTCTGGCAATCTCTTGCTGGCAATAAAATACACTTCATTCTAGACAGACTGGCTGACTCAGTGTTTCAAGGAGAGGCAGAACTGCCTGGATGATTCAGACTTCGCTGTTCTTTAGACAATAGAGAGGCCCAGCTGAGATGCAGAGAACAGCTCAGAAATAGCAAGAAAATGGCTCTGGCCTTGAGAAAGGTGGCCCTACACTGTAAGGCTGGTTTTCTCATCTGTCATTACCTCCCCCTCAACATACCACACCTTTTCCAAAAAGCATGGGGCCCCCCTTTGAACTGTGGGGTTCAGTTGGTGACCTCCTGGCTTCTCTCCTCCCCCCAGAAAACATGTATTTTGGGGAAGCTGAAAACGAGCTCCTCCCGGCTCTGTTAACAACTGGAAGGAAACTCTCAGTGCAGTTGCAGGACTGGAGCTCTTGATAACCTCTTATATTTAATCATCAGGTTGAGAAAAGTCAAAAAGCACGGCAAGTCAAATGGGAACGGGGGGAACAATATTTTGCCACTTTCCCCCTTAAAATACATATGGGGAATTTGGGGAGGGGAAGGATAGACAGACTTTAAAAACAGCTGTACAGGACGGCCTGGCAGGGATAAGGTGTGACCAGCATCTCAGTTTGGGAGGAAAGATGATCGGACAAGAGAAATGCACGTCCATTCCTGAGCAGTGCCTGACTGGTGCCTTGGCTTCTTGCCTGGGTGATGATTGAAACTCTTTCTTTATTCCAGGAGCAGATGTAGAGGAGACAGCTGGGGAATTCCAGGGGTTCCCTTTGGAAAAAGCCAAGAATGAAGATGCCGAAGGAGACTATGGAGATGGACCTCAGAGGCAGGAGGGAAGCCAAGCAGGTAAGAGGAGGAATAAGCCCATTCCTTGCTGAGGAGGGGGTTTCCGTGAAATCCCAGTCCAAGAAGAAGGGTCAATCAAAAAGAGAAGGGACAAAGGCCTCCATCCTAACCAGAGAATCCACTCCAGGGAAACGGAAAGTGTGGCCTTGGCAAAGCCCTTTAGTGAGAATGAACATCAGTTTGCAGGCCCAAAATTATCCTTAGGAGAGAAACCGTGTAATTGCTTGCGGTACAGAAAGAGCTTCAGTGAAACAAGAGCCCTTACTTCACATTTAAAAAGTTACAGTTGGGGAACCATATAAACGGTTAGAGTTTAAGTTGTCTGTTATTGTACACTTCAGCATTCAGCAGGAAGAATCCACTGTAATATTTGGATTGCGGATGGAACTTCAGGTGCAGATCAGACCTCCTTGCGTGGGTTCTAACAGGATCTCTTTCTTTATTCCAGCAGGGGATGATCAGAGGAATGAGGAGAATGAGGAACTGCATACTCTATCACTAGGTGAAGTCAAGAATGAAGACTTGAGAGAAAACTCCAGAAACCAAGTTGTACCTAAGAGGCAGAAAAGAAGCCACATCATCCAGAAGAGGGTTAAACCCATTCCTTGCAAAGGGGGGGATCTTCAAGAAGTAAGGAAACTTCTGCTGAAGGAAACATACAAGTGCTTGGCGTGTGGAATGAACTTCTTGGATAAATCCCAGTATAATGTCCATTTATGGATGCACAGTGGAAAGAAGACCCATCGATGGCTGGAGGCTGGAAAGACCATGATTCGCAGACCAGAGCTCCTTAGACTTCAAAGAACACATAGAGGAGAGAAACCTTATAGCTGCTCAGGCTGTGGCAAGAGATTCTCAGAGAAATCAGATCTTGTTCAACACCAAAGGATTCATACAGGAGGGAAGCTATTCATTTGCTCAGGGACTGCGATGAAATTCTCTCTGGGAGGAAAAGGTAATATACGTTTTCCAAAGCACAGTATAATGAGTACATGTAAATGCTTTTCGTGTGGAAACTACTTCAAATACAGATCACAGCTCCTTGAGCACCAAAGAATCCACAGAGGGGAGAAGCCCTCTAAATGTTCAGAGTGTGGGAAGAGATTCAGTTGCAGTGGTGCTCTTCAAAAGCATCTAAGAATTCACACAGGGGAGAAGCCTTTTGAATGCTCACAGTGTGGAAAGAGATTTGGTGACAGTGGCACTCTTCAAATACATCTAAGAACCCACACAGGGGAGAAGCCTTTTGAATGCTCACAGTGTGGAAAGAGATTCAGTCAGAGTGGAGCTCTTCAAATACATCGAAGAACCCATACAGGGGAGAAGCCTTTTGAATGTTCTGAGTGTGGGAGGCGATTCAGTCGCAGTGACGCTCTTGAAATACATCTAAGAACCCACACAGGGGAGAAGCCTTTTGAATGCTCACAGTGTGGAAAGAGATTCAGTCAGAATGGAACTCTTCAAATACATCGAAGAACCCATACAGGGGAGAAGCCTTTTGAATGTTCAGAGTGTGGGAGGCGATTCAGTCGCAGTGGCGCTCTTCAAATACATCAAAGAACCCACACAGGGGAGAAGCCTTTTGAATGCTCAGAGTGTGGGAAGAGATTCAGTCGCAGTGCCCACCTTCAAACCCATCTAAGAACCCACACAGGGGAGAAGCCTTTTGAATGCTCAGAGTGTGGGAAGAGATTCAGTCGGAGTGGCAATCTTCAAAATCATCTAAGAACCCACACAGGAGAAAAGCCTTTTGAATGCTCAGAGTGTGGGAAGAGATTCAGTGAAAGTAGCAGTCTTCAAAAACATCTAAGAACTCACACAGGTGAGAAGCCTTTTGAATGCTCAGAGTGTGGGAGGAGATTCAGTCGCAGTGGCAGTCTTCAAAATCATTTTAGAACCCACACAGGGGAAAAGCCATTTGAATGCTCAGAGTGTGGGAAGAGATTCAGTAATAGTGGCAATCTTCAAATTCATCTAAGAACCCACACAGGGGAGAAGCCTTTTGAATGCTCAGAATGTGGGAAGAGATTCAGTCAGAGTGGAACTCTTCAAATCCATCTAAGAACCCACACAGGGGAGAAGCCTTTTGAATGCTCAGAGTGTGGCAAGAGATTCCGTGACAGTAGCACTCTTCAAACACATCAAAGAACCCACACAGGGGAGAAGCCTTTTGAATGCTCAAGAGTGTGGCAAGGGATTCCGTGACTATAGCACTCTTCAAAACCATCTAAGAATCCACACTGGGGAGAAGCCTTTTGAATGCTCAGAGTGTGGAAAGAGATTCCGTGACAGTAGCACTCTTCAAAAACATCAAAGAATCCACACAGGGGAGAAGCGTTTTGAATGCTCAGAGTGTGGGAAGAGATTCCGTGACAGTGGCCACCTTCAAACCCATCTAAGAACCCACACAGGGGAAAAGCCTTTTGAATGCTCACAGTGTGGGAAGAGATTCAGTCAGAGTGGCGGTCTTCAAATACATCGAAGAACCCACACAGGGGAGAAGGCTTTTGAATGCTCAGAGTGCGAGGAGAGATTCAGTTGTGGTGGTCATCTTCAAGATCATATAAGAACTCACACAGGAGAGAAGCCTTTTCAATGCTTAGAATGTGGGAAGAGATTCAGTTATAATGGCCACCTTCAAAACCATCTAAGAACCCACACAGGGGAGAAGCCTTTTCAATGCTTAGAGTGTGGGAAGAGATTCAGTCGCAGTGACACTCTTCAAAATCATCTAAGAACCCACAAAGGGGAGAAGCCTTTTCAATGCTCAGAGTGTAAGAAGAGATTCAGTTACAGTAGCACTCTTCAAAATCATCTAAGAACCCACACAGGGGAGTCCATCAGTGGCTATTAGCCACAAGGTATAGATAGGAACTCTCAGGTTGGGGCAAGTGATGCTCTTTATTCTTGGTTCTTGGGAGAGGGGCAACAGTGGGAGGGCTTCTAGTGTCCTGGCCCCACTGCTGGACCTCCTTTTTTAAAAAAAAACACCAATTTTTATATAGGATATCATCACTCAAAATCAACATTTATAATACATTTTTCCTACCCTCCTCCCTTCCCCCCCCTGCATGGCTTCCCACAGTGCTACAACCTTCTGCAAAATTCTTAAATTCCTTCTTCCTTCCCTTTATCATTATAAGTTCAATAGGTAACTAATCTCTTCATATATAAATTTCTCTATTTCTTATTCCATATTGTTAAACTTTAACACTCAATAATTATTAAAGCAAAATAAGTTGTCTCTTACATCCCAATTCTTCTCTAAATAGTCTTTTAAATCTTTCCAATCTGCTAAAAAGTCTTCTGCTTCCATATTGTTAAGTTTTCTTGTCATTTTGTCCATTTCAACCATAAAAAGCAATTTCTTAATCCAATCTCCAACTTCAGGAACCTTATCCTGTTTCCAACATTGCGCATACGTCATTCTGGCAGTTGTGATCATATACCACATCCATGTCCTTTTTGCCATATTGACTTCTTCCATTTTAAGCCCCAAAAGTAATATTTCTGGTTCTTTCTTAAACTTACATTTCACAATTTTTTCCATTTCTGCATGGATCTCAACCCAATTTTTTTTTTGCTTTTTCACAAGTCCACCACATATGATAAAACGAGCCCTCAACCTTTTTGCACTTCCAACATTTGTTTGACATATTAGTATTCATATTAGCAATCTTTTTTGGTGTCTATACATCATCTTATAACAATTTTCTTTTAAGTTATTACATGTTGATATTTTCAGTGCATTTTTCCATAAATATTGCCAAGATGACATCATTATTTCTTTATTCATATTTACCGCCCATTTTACCATTTGTTCTTTAACTACCTCATCTTCCGTGTACCATTTTAACAGTATTTTATACATTTTTGAAATAAGTTTTTTACCTCCCTCAAACCATACATTCTCAATATCATTATACTTTTTTCTAAAACCAAAAGTCTTTTTGTCTTTTTTAAACAAGTCATTAATTTGTCTATATTGAAACCAACCATATTTAAAAGCTAAATCTTCTTCCATTTTCATTTCATATGTCTTACCCACTGGCTTCAACATGTCTTTATATTGTACCCAGTCTTCTCCCTTATAAATCGAAAAAGGTTTTATTACCTCAGCCGGAACAATCCAAAGAGGCCTCTCGTCCGAGAAGTACCTCCTGTATTTAGTCCATGTATCGAAAAATACTCTTCTAATGTAATGATGTTTAAAGAAACCATCCATTTTTACTTTTTCGTACCATAAATAGGCATGCCAACCAAACTTACAGTTGTGACCTTCTAACGCTCTGTGTTCTTGGTGCTGGGAGGGGGGCAACAGTGGGAGGGCTTCTAGTCTCCTGGCCCCACTGCCGGACCTCCTGATGGCGCCTGGTATTTTTGTCCACTGCGTCACAGAGTGTTGGACTAGATAGGCCATTGGCCTGATCCAACATTGGCTTCTCTTATGTTCTTATGTTAGAAGCGTTTTGAATGCTCAGAGTGTGGGAAGAGATCAAGTGACAGTAGCAGTCTTCAAAAACATAAAAGAACCCACACAGGGGAGAAGCCTTTTGAATGTAGGGAAGTTTGGGCAGTCCAGGCCACTATCAGGGATCCCCAACCTCATTAGGGTTATTTACTATGGGTAGTTGGAGTCTGTCTTGGGAAGTCAGGCTATCTTCAATTTTTATATAAATGACTTGATGAAATGCTTAAGTAACCAGGCTTATATTACAGCATCATCAGATCTCTTATTATATGCAGATGGAGCAGATATTCTGTTAAGGCTAAGAAGAGCCCTAAAGGAAAAAAAAGACTTTCAATAAAATATCAAAAGATTATGGCCTTTGGTAAGAAACTGAAGTCTAGAACCTGGACCATCGATGGCCATTTGATTGAACTGGTGCAGACCTTCAAATATCTTGGTGCAGTATTCCATGCTTCCGGCTCAAGAAAAGCACATGATGCCCATGCAGCAGATATTGGGCAAAAGTCAGCTCACAATATACTTAGATTTCTTCAAACTAAGGGTGGACAGTACATCCCTGCTGCACTAAAAGTCTTCCAGGCCAAGACCTTGGCCCAACGTTTGCACAAAACTATGATCGGGCCAACATCATCTTCTTTTGCCCCTCTTGAGCGTGTTCAAAGTTCCTACGAGCATCATTACAAGTCCCCAGTTGCATACCAAATGCCTTGCTACGTTTGGAGACTGACATTGTCAGAGTGGAAGCCAAGGGGTGCCTTGCCTCCCTAAATTACTGGCTGAAGATTAGCAGTCTTCAGCAAGGTTTGACCCCACTGCTCCTCTTAGATGAACATATATCTGTATGGCTTTGGACAGTCATTTGCGGACTTACGAGTCTAGGCTTTTCACCTTCCATGCTTTTAACTATGGGCCTTGACCAGGCAACACGAGCCATAAAACAAAGCTTGATTTAGGGAGGGTCCCTACTTTCTTGTTCCCTATGAACCCCAGATATGTAGTCAAGCTAGCTGCCTATCTGACCCTCTTGGAGGTGCATAGTCATAGGGGGGCCTTTACACTTGCAAGGTGTGCTGCACTCTCCTCTGCTGTTTTAGAGGAGCAGTTTAATAGAATCCCCCATGGGAAAAAGTTTTGCCCCTGAAATGAAGGAGAAATTGACACTGCAGATCACATTCTTCTATGTTGTCCCTTCTCTCAAGATACTCACACCCAGACCACGACTCAATGGTATACCTTGAAGAACAAGCTTGGGATATGTTAGGTTACTCTTGGCAGACAGAAACCCAACAACTACAACATCAGTTGCAAAATTTTGTGCAACAGCCTGTAAAGTCCACCAGTTGCTTTCATTATCAGGGTTTATGTAAATACCACTTGTTTATATTACCATCTATAGTATTGTTTATGTTAGTTTTTTTATCTATGTTGGTCTTTGACCGTACAATAAAATTTGAAGAACCCCAAATTTTGCCACACAAGGGAGAAGCCTTTTGAATGCTCAGAGTGTGGGAAGAAATTTTTTTTATGCCCCCCGGAGGAGATTTTTTATTGCATTTTTATTAACACTACAAACTATAACAGAAAATAGGGAAGGGGACTACATATAAGGATAAACAAAAGGTACCCACTACTGACTAAAAATCCAAGAGAGGAGGTAATCAAATCAGCGTAAATATACGTTAGCACTTAATCACGCTAGTCCCATTATGAACTAAGTCAAGTATAGTATTATCTTTTTCAATTCTTAATTTTAACTATTACAAGAGAGATCCCTAAGCATCTAGTTTCAGTAATTTCAAAAGCACAGTTCAGAGTCCTTCAGTCTTCATTTTCCCTTGCCCAGTCTCTTTCGCAGTTTGTAAGGACTTTTGGGGGCTGCTGCCCCTTTCTCTGATAGAGAATCTTCTCCAGAAGACCCCAAGTCCAGCTCGCCACTGGACCTGCTGTCCAACCCTTTTTTTCCTTCCTCCCCTGGCTCTCCCAGCTGGACTCTTAAAAATTCCTGTGCTTTCTGAACAGACTCAATCTTTTCCTTTTTATCCTTAATTTTGAAGATTACGCCCTCTGGAGTTAGCGATCTGTATCCGATTGCATTTGTCTGGAGAAAAAGAATTAAATCTTTGTACTTCTTTCTCCTTTGTCTTATTTCAAATGGAATGTCTTTTAAAATTCTGATAGTGTTTTCTCCAACTTTCACGGGTGTGCCTGATGCCGCTTTCAGGATTGCATCCCTCACATGCCTCTTTGAGAATCTTATCACTATTTCCCCAGGCAGATTATTTTTCTTTATATATCTGGAATATGACCTGTGGGCCACATCCATATCGCTCAGCAAAGATTCCACCTTCATATCTGTCACTGGGGCCAGTAATTCACTCATCATTTCCTTCAGATTCTCTCCCTTAGTCTCTGGAATGCCCTGGAAGCAAAGAATCAAATTGGCTTTTTTCATTTGTAGCTGTAACAGGTGTAATTGGCTTTTTTCATTTGTAGCTGTAACAGGTGATCTTCTGTGGAGATTTGCTTCTTTTCAGTTTTTGTACTTTCTTCTTCACCCTTTGGGCAGTGGCGTTCACTTCTTTCACCTCAGCTGTTTGAGTCATCATTTTAAGAGTCTCATTCAACTGTGTTTGCTGGGTGGTGATACATTGATTCATTGTTGACAGCTGCTCCCTGAGGTTATTCATCTGATCCAGCAGGGGGTGCATGGATTCCGCCAATGTCTTTGCCAGCTCATTGGTTGCTTCTGGCCTTGGACTCTCAATTCCTTTAGCTTTTAGCAGTTTCTCTTTCTCCATCCTCTTCCCCCCGCCATCTTTTTGGATTGTTTACTTTTGCAAAAGTTTTAAAAGTCTCTGAATATGCGCTTAAACGCTCAAGCTCGCCTTAGTAAGTCTCTCTTAACAGTTATAACCGCTTTCTCTTCCGCTCCCCCCCTCCGATTCGCTTAAAAGTTTATGTGCATGGGAGGTGCCCCTCCCCCACTCGCCTCACTTTCTGTTCCGCGTGGGTGGGGAGCTTTCTTTTCACTTGAACCAATCATTTTAGTTGAACTCACGTTCATAATTGGTTCGTAGACCCCGTTTTAGTTACTCCGCCGCTATCAGGGCTAATTTTTGAGGGGAGCTCTGCAGGGGGGGGGTACGGGCGCGTGAGAGAGGCTTTCCTTTCCTGATTCCCCGACTGCTGAGAGAGGAGGAGATGGAGGCAGGGCTAGCAGATGGTGGGCGGCGAGGTGTGCTGCTGCCTCCCCCCTCCTGGCCACCGCCGCTTGCCTCCCCCCCCGCCCCAGCCTCTCTGCCGGGCAAAGAAGCCACAGGGGCCACCGGCGTGGGAGAGGGTGTGGCAGCGAGGAGGGAGCAGGATCGCGCAGGTGTGCAGCTCTGAAGTGCACAGCCACGGCCGCCCACGCGCCACGCCCCCCACGCACCACCGGCGGGTTCCCTGGCAAAGGCTTTCCCGGCCACCTCCCCCGGGCACTCCTGAGTTGCTAAGGGCACCAGAGGGGCGGGCACCCTGTTAGGGCGGCAGGGGCAGGTTGCAGGGGGTTGGGGGGCGCAGTTTGGTGCCCCTGAGGGCCGGCGCGCCCTAGGCCAGACACTAGCTGGCCTAGTGATAGAGCCGGCCCTCAGCGCGACATGCATTCCCCACTAGGCGATTAGAAGATGATCTTGCCCAATGCAGACTCTGCAGATGAGGCAATAAGTATTGGCCCTTTTCTCCCCTCTGCTTCCTCGTGCTCCTCAGTCATCTCAGCTAGTCTCAGTGAGGTTGATAGAAGGGAACACAGGCTGTGGCAAATAAAGTGCAAGTCAATGATCAGGCAGGCAAAAGGAATATGAGGAGCATATAGCAAAATGCATGAAGACCAACAATGAAATACATTAGAAGCAGGAAACCAGTCAGGGAGGCCGTGGGGCCCTTGGATGACCAAGGGGTAAAAGGAGTACTGAAGGATGATAGGGAAATGGCTGAGAAACTGAATGCATTTTTTTGCCTCTATCTTCACTTGTGGAAGATGAGAAGTGCTTGTCCACTCCAGAACCACTGATTTCGGGAGGGGTGTTGAAAGACCTGAGTCAGATTGAGGTGACGAGAGAGGAGGTCCTACAACTGATAGACACCATAAAAACTGATAAATCACCAGGCCTCGATGGCATACATCCAAGAGTTCTGAAAGAACTCAAATGTGAACTTGTAGACCTCCTGACAAAAATGTGTAATCTTTCATTAAAATCTGCCTCCATTCCTGAGGACTGGAAGGTAGCTAATGTCACTCTCATCTTTAAAAAGGGTTCCAGAGGAGATCCAGGAAATTACAGGCCAGTCAGTCTGACTTTGATACCGGGTAATTTGGTAGAAACTGTTATTAAGGAAAGAATTAGTAGGCACATTGATGAACAAAAACTATTGAGGCAGACTCAGCATGGGTTCTGTAAGGGAAGATCTTGTCTCACTAACCTGTTAGTGTTCTTTGAGGGAGCTAACAAACATGTGGATACAGGGGACCCAATAGATGTTGTTTACCTTGTCTTCCAGAAAGCTTTTGATAAAGTCCCTCATGAAAGGCTCCTAAGTACGTTCAAGAGTCATGGGATAAGAGGACAAGTCCTCCTGTGGATAAAAAACTGGCTAATTAATAGGAAACAGAGTATGAGTGGGCAATTTTTACAGTGGAGGGTGGTAAGCAGTGGGGTACCGCAGGGATCAATACTGGGTCCGATGTGTTTTAACTTGTTCATTAATGATTTGGAGTTGGGAGAAAGCAGTGAAGTGGCTAAATTTGCAGATGAAACAAAATTGTTCAGGGTGGTGAGAACCAGGGCAGACTGCGAAGCACTCCAAAGGGACCTGTTGAGGATGGGCGAGTGGGTGTCAACATGGCAGATGGAGTTCAGTGTGACCAAGTGCAACGTGATACACATTGGGGCCAAAAATCCTAAGTATAAATATATGTTGATGGCTTCTGAACTGGCAGAGACTGTTCAAGCTACAGATCTTGGAGTTGTAGTAGGTAAGTCACTGAAAATGTCGAGACAGTGTGCAACTGCAATAAAAAAGGCCAACACGATGCTGAGAAGGGAATTGAAAACAAATCAGCCAGTATCGTAATGCCCCTCTACCTCATTTGGAATACTGTGTACAGTTCTGGTCACCACACCTCAAAAAGGATATTATAGCATGGGAAAAAGTGCAGAAAAGGGCAACTAGAATGATAAAAGGGCTGGAACACTTTTCCTATGAAGGAAGGTTAAAACACTTGGGGCTCTTTAGTTTGGAGAAATGACAAGTGAGGGGTGACATGATAGAAATTTACAAGATTATGCATGGGATAGAGCAGGTCGATAAAGAAGTACTTTTCTCCCTTTCTCACAATACAAGAACTCGTGGGCACTCAATGAAATTGCTGAGTAGTCGGGCTAGAACGCATAAAAGGAAGTACTTCTTCACCCAAAAAGTGATTAACACATTGAATTCACTGCCACAGGAGGTGGCTGCAGCTACAAGCATGGATGTCTTCAAGAAAGAATTGGATTAACATATGGAGCAGAGGTCCATCAGTCGCTATTAACCACAAGGTATTAGATAGGAACTCTCAGTCTGGAGCAAGTGATGCTCTGTATTCTTGGTGCTGGGAGGGCAACAGTGGGATGGTCAATATATGACACGGAAATAAAAACCGAGCGTGAGTTCTATAACCCTCTAAATATTTGGAATCCTATCTTAGGGAAGATAGTGCTAGAAAACTTCGAATGGGAAAGCATAGTTGAGGCAAAATATAAGATAATGTTATACAATTGATATGGTGGAAGTCAATATTACTGGCTTCCAAAAGAAGGGGAGGGTTAATAGGTATACATTGTTCGACCACTGTTTGTTGCGTGTGTTAAATGGGTTCTGGATATAGTGTATTGATCTCTGAATTGGATGCTTGTTAACGTTACGTATTGTATTTTATGGTTTTGAAAAGTTTTCAATAAAAATATAAACAAAAAAACAACAACAGTGGGATGGCTTTTAGTGTCCTGGCCCCACTGGTGGACCTCCTGGTGGCACCTGGCATTTTTGGCCACTGTGTGACAGAGGGTTGGACTGAATGGGCCATTGGCCAGATCCAACACTGGCTTCTCTTATGTTCTTATGGCTATGGGTCTCTTTCCGTAGATTTTCACAATCAGGCCTGGTTTTCAGCATCCGGAATAATCTGCAAACTTGGCCACAACACTACTCACCTCTAGTTCAAGACTGTTTATGAACAAATTAAATAGTACCTTCCCCAATACTGATCCTTGTGGAAACTCCAGTTGTTACTTCCCTCCATTGTGAGAACTGTCCACTTATTCCTACTCTGTGTGTTTCCTGTCATTTTAATCCCAAAGTGAACCTGCCCAATTTTCCCTTGACTGCTACATGTATTCAGGAGTTGCTAGTGAGGTACCTTGTCAGAAGGCTTTTTCAATATTTATCGTTATATAATGCTTTTGTTGTTGTTGTTGTTCAGTCGCACAGTCGAGTCCGACTCTTCGCGACCCCATGGACCAGCTCCCGCCAGGCCCTCCTGTCTTCCGCCGTCCTCTGAAGTTGGCTCAATTTCATGTTCGTTGCATCTATGACACTGTCTAACCATCTCATGCTTTGCCGTCCCCGTCTTCTTTGACCTTCAATCTTTCCCAGCATCAGGGTCTTCTCCAGTGAGTGCTCCCTTCTCATTTGGTGGCCAAAGTATTTCAGCTTCAGTTTCATTATCTGGCCTTCCAGGGAACAGTCAGGGTTGATTTCTTTTAGGATTGACTGATTTGATCTTCTGGCAGTCCAAGGGACTCTCAAGAGTCTTCCCCAGCACCATAGTTCAAAAGAATCTATTCTTTGGCGCTCGGCCTTCCTTATAGTCCAACTCTCGCAGCCATACATGACTACTGGGAATACCATTGCTTTGACCATGCGGACTTTTGTTGGCAGGGTGATGTCTCTACTTTTTATCATGCTGTCTAGGTTCGCCATTGCTTTCCTCCCAAGGAGCAGGTGTCTTTTAATTTCATGGCTGCTGTCACAGTCTGCGGTGATCTGGGATCC